AAATGAGATATTAACTATATAAAGCATATATCCCAGTGCTTGGCATATTATTGTGTTTAATTTGGACACATCATCTGGTTGCAACCCTCGAGAATGAATTTATTCAGACCTGAATGAAAAAAAAATTGTATTTTATTAAAAGTACCAGTAACCAGGTTTTCGGTTATATCTTAGTGGTAGAGCATTTGCCTCACACGAGTGAGGCCTTGGGTTAGAGACTCAGCACTGGGGGTGGGGTGGGGGGAGAAGTACCTATACACTGCAAAGCTTTTTGTAACAACCTCCTTAGGAGTCGAACTGTTTTTACAGAAACAAGACATTCATCATTGCTGATGGAAGCCTTTCTCAGAGTGGTTAAGAAGAGTAAGGCTTCCTTCCCGAGATGCTTTGTGCCTTAAGAGGAAAGAGAAGGAAATGAGAAGCCCCTAAGAGTGGTAGCATTGCTAGCCCTGAAATGCATCCTTTTCCTCTCAAAAAAAAAAAAAAAAAAAAAAAAAAATCCCATGAGATGAAAAATCTCTGCAAGGTATTTAGGCCATAGGTGTCAACAGAGCCTAGGGTCCAGAGAGGCAAGCTGGCTGCTTTCATGGGAACTGTGTACACAAAGCAGAGGTAATTACTTTGGGTTACAGCCGCTAACATGATTCTGCAAACTCCCTGCCTGCAAGAGACTGCAACGCCTCAAGAATGGGCCCAAACTTATTGCATCTGTGCACTGCACAGACCTACCTCAGCTTCTCCTGCCAGAGGCTCTTTGAGGTCTTTCGTAATTTGCATTCCTTGGGCAAATGGAATTTAAATTCCTTAGGCAAATTTCATCCTGATGGAACACAAAAATGACATGCAAGCCATGATCTCATTGYTTAGGATTTCTACTTTAGAATCATTGATGTGTGCCTCAACAGGCAGGTGAGTTAAAACATTTCGGCTCATTTTTATTTTACTTTCATGAATGCGTCTTTCTATTTGAAGAGCCCTTAAGCATCGTCTCACGGATATCTCAGTAGCATTTGATGATATTTTTTTATGATGGAAGGGCAGGAGGAGGGATCGCAGAGTTAGAGGACCAGAATTCTGGTCCTGGGCTGCAAACGAAGAAGCCAATAAGAGAAGGGAAAGACTCATCATCTTTATCTTGACCTATTTGATTTCTCCTAAACCATCTTAGTAATTGGGTGACAATAACTTTATTTTGGGGGGGACTCTAACGTGGTCATTTTGCTCTAGACCTTCATTCTTCTCCTAGTTCTTCCTAATTCGGATGCTAATGCCATGKTGGATCGGTTCTTGCTAAGAAAAATGCCTCCCATTTAAGGAAGGATTAGCAAATGGCAGGTGGTCTGAGGTAGTAGGCTGAGCTGCAAGCAGAGTTCTAGTTCTTCCAGGTCACGGTACTTGAATTTGTCACTCTGTGAGCCACATTTTGCCCATAGATCAATGAGAACACCCATGCTTCATGGGGTGCATGTGARGCTCAAGAAAGTGTGTAAAAAGTGGACAAAGGTAGTATGAAGACACATGAATGTCATGAAATCTCCCGCAGCCCTCCTTCTACACACCCCTAACTAGTGATGTGGGAAAGCCGCAATCTCAGATCATTGGCTTCCTCAAATTCCACTTGTCTCCTCAGCCTTAGAACAAAACTCAACAAAACAACGGATTAAAGAACCCTAGTGATTTCCAACTCATTCCATCTACAAATTGAGAGGGAGGACCTTTGGAATGTAACAATGACCTTGAGCTTTGTCAGGACCTTTAGAGCTCACCCTCCTGAGCACCTAGGAACCTGCCCCACTGCCCTTGCTGTTTGGCATTATCATTTCTATTTTAGCGTCTGAGGGTGGATTTTAATTGTGCAAGGGCAGGGTGATGCCAGTCTTGCTCATGATTGTCTGCAGCGCTGGGTGTAGTGCGAGGCATGTAGTTGGCGCCAAGCAAATGACTAAATGAGTGAGGTGGATGGTGTGACAAAAGCAATCTAGATCCACATAGGGAGCCTGTGAGAGAATCCAGACTCTCCTCCCTCCTGGTAGCCTTGGGTGAGCAATGTCTTAGTAACTTAAAAGAGTTTCAGGACTTTTCAAACAAGAAAAGTAGGAGGTATTCTGGCCAAAGACATTTTTATTTTTAAGCAGCTCTGAAGAAACCAGGTCTTCTGGAGTCAGAGTTTAAAAAAACGAACAAAACACCTTGGTGTGTGTTTTATTAAAAATTCGAGTAAACTGGGGTTGTTTCTCCCATTCTACTCCTGGCATGATACTATCAAAATAAGACTTCTCTTTTTTCTTTTTTTGTACCAGGGATTGAAACCAGAGGCTCTTTACCTCTAAGTCACATCCCCACCCCTTTTTTTATTTTGAGATAGGGTCTTGCTAAATTTCTTAGGGCCTCACTAAGTTGCTGAGGCTGGCTTTGAACTTGCAATCCTCCTGCCTCAGCCTCCCAAGCCACTGGGATCATAGGCGTGCATCACCACGCCCAGCCAAAATAATACTTCTAAGATGGACATCATCTTGCTTTAGATTCCTGAGTTTAATTCCTAACACTGAGGGAAAAAAGAAAAAGAAAAAAAAATCCATTACAAAGAACTCTTTAATTTAGAATTAGTTTGCATAGTATCTCTGTTGGTTTCCTTAGTTTAAATTGTAGGATCCTGCAGGTTGAACAATTTCTTTACAATCTCAAAGGGGCAGTGATGAGCCGCAGTGAGGGAACTGTGATCTTTCCCCTTTGAAACCACAGAAGAAAATTCAACCAATTCACTTTAGCAAATAATAAATTTATTAGGTGCCTCCAAGTACAAAAACACTGAAAAGCTGCTGTAGAGGGTTAGGAGGTTGTGCAGGAGACGCGCCTGCCCTCGAAGAGCTTACAGTCTAGGCAGTTAGCCACATGAATCAGTTGTGGAGATAGGTGTTAGGCCAGCTAAGTGGGGGTTCTTGAAAATATCCACATCCTTTCGAAATATCCCAAGGAATCCTTTCCATGGGAAGCTCAACAGTGGGGAAGAAGAAACCTTTTGTGGGACAAATTAGTGTAGTGACCTTGACTTTGCTTATGAGCATCTTTCCATTGCTGTTGCTTATTCTCGTAACTTTCTGGGCATCATTTCCTAACTGGACCTTTGTTTGGAGTCACCCTGCTTCCTGAACCTTCTCCAGAGTTTCCTGTTTGTGATTGAGTGTGGCTCAGTTGCAGTTTGGCCTTGGAATGAATTTACAGTCTGATTTTTTTTCCTTCAGCCAATCTGTCTTTTAATTTTGGTCAAAGTTGGGTTGCTATGCTTCGCAATCTGTGGTTTGAAGGATGGGAGTAAGATGCAAAAACAAAGTAAAGCAGGCCAGACTTTTCCCTTACTTTAAACATTTAATAGTGCACTTACTGATTATATTCTGTACAGATATAGAGCAAATTATAAACTTCTTCCTTTTATTTATTTTTTTCACTTAGACTGTATTCATGTAAAGTGTATTTACATTAAGGGGGAAAAAGCCTTGAGGTACAAAACCCAAAAGAATATCTGAGGTATAAATACAAGTATATTTTAAATAATAATCTTTGTCATGCTTTATCTATGTCTGAAAGCACAGTGGACAGACATGTGTACATATTTCTTAATAGAATGGTATATACAACATACAATCTTACAAATCTGGAAGCCATCAAAATTGAATATACAATTATATCTTTACGAGGAACACTGATATCCAAAATACTCAAATTTTAAAATTCTAATCTGACCCACCCCCCAACTCTTCAAAGAACCTTTGAAATAGTAACACTGACAATGGTAACTAAGTTATAACAAAATAAAAATCCTTCTTACAACTCTCATTCACACATTATTCACTTTTGATCCATACAAAATAAATTCACTAATACTGTCTCTAGAGTCAATCTTTACCATTACAGTAAAACCTGTATAAAGACCACCCTTCCAGAAACTGTGCTGTATTCTTTCACTGTGATTACTACTTCCCCTTAGGACTAAAATACATTTTGAGGGCATCCTAAAAGAAAAGAAAAAGAAACATAGGAAAAAACAAACAAAACAAGCCAAGAAACCAGAAAAACCTATTTGCTGATAAGAACAAAACCAATTAATAAAAATGTGCAGCTTTCAGGAATGCTGTTAACAACCACCAAAAAAGGAAAAAAGAAAAAAAAAAAAAAGGCTTTTGTGCCTGGGTTAAACTTACAGGAATTTCCTTGGGACGGTTTCCCATGTTCTCATGCATAGTGTCTCAAAGAGTTTGTGCTATACACATGAAACTGCAAAGAACTGTAACAGGTTAAAAAAAAAAAAGTTTTGATGCTCAATTTAGGAGTAAATAGAGTGTTTAGTTTTTACTGCTCTTAAAAAGAGAAAAACAAACAAAACCCCCCTGTGCCTTGGAGCCAATAAGGTCAGGGGAAGGGGATTATTGTTCCTGAAGTCATCTTTATTGGTTAAAACTATATCCCTGTTTGCAATCAGGTCTAAAAACAAACTGCATTTGCAATGAGTGTTGCAGTAAACCTGCAATGACTTCTAAGGTAAAGAAGAATTGGTGGATAAGGAATATGCTTACCAACCTGGAAAAGAAAAAATGGACAGTGTTTGTTGGGTCTCCTTTCTGGATGGATCCATGGGTAGTCAACTATTCCAGGTTAAACTGAACCTGCTGCATCGACATTCCTTCCTGGAGGCATCTCAGTGTGCCAGACACTGCATTCCAACGTAGACATCTATGCCACTCAACCAGTGACAAACACACATTCACACTCCTCTGTGCAAACCTTTCTTTGCTCATCTCAGTGAGAAAACATGTCCACAAGTACCAACTATTCCAGTGGATACACCAGTCCCTCGACATACTGCAAATCAATGACATAGGTAACATACACTGATATCACAGAGAATGAAATATCTTCATTGTCTTCCATAATGTATTTAAAGAGTTTTGCTTCTCAGAAGCAATTTGAATTAGAATACAAGAACTTTTTTTTCTTTTTTTATATGCACAGTCTTATATATTCCAGTCAAGGTCTCCAGAATAGACCTTAAACAAACAGGAAGCAGCTTTAAAAATGTATCAAATTGCTACAGTCACTTTCTATACTCTGACTTGTATTTGCTTCAGGATCAGACACACACTGATTCTTCCAAGGACTGGCAAGGTTCTGGAAACAATCACGCAGGTGGTGGACACAGTTGCTTTGCTTCAGGAATCACCTAGATTTGGTATCCTTGGTTTCAGTGCTCTGATTAACGAAGGAGTCTCGAATCTTTACCACCTCAGCTGCACACAAATGTCCAAAAGATTTTGTGTACCATTCTGGCATGTGACCCCTAGCACAAAAAGGAAAAGCCGATGATTTATTTGGAAAACACTGAAATAAGATGAAAGCAATCCCAAATACACATTCATTTCTTTCTTTTCCTTTTTTCCTCTCCCTTATGCTAGTGCTGGAGATGGAACCCAAGGTCTTACACAGACTAGGCAAGTACTCTGCACCACTAAGCCACACCCCCAGTACCACTTCCATTTCTTGATGGACCAAATGTGTAGGTAAAGATTACTTATTTGCTGGGCGCAGTGGCACACGCCTGTAATCCCAGCAGCTAAGGAGGTGAGGCAGGAGGATCACGAGTTCAAAGCCAGCCTCAGCAATGGTGAGGCACTCAGCAACCCAGTGAGACCCTGTCTCTAAATAAAAATACAAAATAGGGCTGGGGATGTGGCTCAGTGTTTGAGTGACGCCAAATTCAATTTCTAGTACCCAAAATACAAAAAACAAAAAAAAAAAACATTTTTTTTTATCCCTAGGCAATTTCCTGGTATATTCATTGCACATTTGGAACCACAAGTTTTTTAAGGAACAAAACATAGAGCATAGGTATTAAGTGAAACTGCTTAAGAAATGCTTCGGCTTACATCATGGAAAGAGATCACAGATATCTGAAGAATTAGTGAGATGTAAATATTTCAAAGGAGAATTTAGTTAACATGAGAGACATTTTAGAAAGAGTTTTCAGAACTTCATTTGTTTGGTCTGTTCTGTTCTATCTCATTCATTTTCTATACAGCCTAAACTCATTTTTTGGCGGGTGGGGTGGTGCTGGGAATTGAACCCAGAGCCTTGTGCATACGAGGCAAGTACTCTACTGACTGAGCTATATCTCCAGCTCTTTCTCATTTTATGATATGACTACACATTCATTTTTGGCACAGAGTGTAGGCCTAATCAATTACTAAAGTGCTCTTCATACTATTCAAACGCCTTTGAATATAAAATGAGAAATGTCTGCTTGATGGTTGAAACATAAAATATATAATTTCCTGTGGGCATTAAATTCACTGTAGAACCACCAAACTTGTGTTGCTTTAGGGCCACATTTTCTAAGGAAGTGGTGTTACCCAATGACCAGCAAACACCAATGTGTTACTTCATGATGTCACCAAGATACCACGGTGTGGTCATTTAATTCATTTTTTTTCCGCATCAGACAACAAGTCTAATTCTTCCTCAGGCCCTCACTGTGTCCAAAAAGTCAGAGTCAGACATACCTTAAATCAGCTCGGCACATGTAAGTGAGTTTGGATTTTCCTGACCCGCAGGGTTCAATCAAATATCTAGACAGGAGCACGTTGACCCTCACGCCTGCCACCGGGGCTCGGTCGTGATCCACAGAGGTGAGTAGTAGGGCACAAGCTCCTTTGGGTAAATTCGTCCTCCAGGTTCTGTGGAGACAAAACCAGAGGGAGTGAGAAAGGGATTTCCTGGAAGCCACACTGAAAATGTGGCATCACCCAGAAGGGAGGAGGAGCCAGGCTCAGTGCCATGTCTGACCCACGCCTGGGTTCCTGGCATCCTCTACACTAGTGCACACAGACTCTGGGATGAGTAACTCTGCACAGCACGATGTCCACTGAGAATACATAAGCTCAGACTTGGAAAAGAGGGCCAATGGGAAGTGGAGCTAAAAGCCATTTTTTCCATTTTACAAAAAGCCTTCAAATGTGGACCTCCAAATGAGCACCGCTTCTGTTTGAAAAGTTCTGGACAAATGATGTGACATTTCCTCAGAGATTTTTCAAATTCTTCTTTCAGCCATGTCTCCAGAGGATTTATGAATTACACATAAATCAGCCTTAACCACATCTCACTTGGGACTCAAATGTTATTTCCTGGCTTATTCCTTCTCTAGCCATTTCTAACCAGAAAAATCTACCCTAAAAGGGGCAAAAATCTGTTGCTATGAAGAAGCATATTCCTCTGAATATGCCTTTCTGATGAATACACAGCTGGACGAGATGCAGACAGATTTCTGTATTTGGAAGTCTCGCCATTTTTCTGAGGCCTGTGTTTCATTTTGAACCGTGTAACTTTCTTGTAGGACTCTACAACACATAGGCTTGGTTTTGATATTCAGCTGTCTAGGCCACAGCGCTCTGTTTGGCAGATCTCACCTCAACACCACGTAGTCCCGAGCCGGGTGGGGTGCCATACTGTTTTGGACATACTGGTAAATTTCAGTCTGGCTGTCCAGGATTTCGATTACTTTTGAATCCAGCAAGTCGACATCCCAGAGGTGCTGCTCTTTCAGTAAGCGCTTTAAGATGTCCTCAGGCAGAGCAGGGACTTCGATGGTTGATCTCCAAAGCCTCAGAGGGGGTCCTTCACTCACCTGAAAAGAGGATGTATATTTCAGAGCTAAGACAGCCATACACAGCTTGGCTGAGAAAGCAAATTGTGAATGGAGGGTCCGGCCTTGTGTTCAGAGGCTAATAAATCTATGACAGTAATAGGTTGCTGTCCTTGAGTATATTCAGGATCAGGCCCGAAAGCCAACGAAATAGCTGGTGTCGACTCTGGTCAAAATCATGATGTCTATTTTTCTGGTACCTGTATCAGGGTATATGTAAGATCAACCATCATCATACCCCAAAGCCTGTACAGCTATATGGATTACTCTCTTGTTTAATTATACTGAAGGTGGTCAGAGATAGTGTTAGCAAATACCACTATGGACCGATCATACCACACAGGATGCCCAAAGTATAGTAACTGAGAACAGATGACGGTACACGAAGATTCTGACTGGATTATGGGAAAATCTAAATATTCTAAAACATTCCTCTAAAACCCAGCACCAGTAATAAAACACCCCAGGAAACTTTGGTGTGATTCCATGGAACCAAAGGATTTATTTCATTAGAAATGGACTGAAATCCTCTCTAGTGTTCATTAGTCCTTGTGTGATGGTCTCCGTATCAGCTCAGGGAGTCTGGGCTACAGATTGCCAATGGATTACCATTGCCATGGTTCATCTCTGATGAATCCAAGTCCTAATCGTAGGATTTCAGAGCAGCAAGAGGGAGAAGCCTACCTTCTTGTAGGAGAGCTCGGCCTGCTCAGAAGTCGAGTAGCTGACCCAGCCTTTGAACTTCTCTTTGACCTCCTTATACAGGCCATCCACGCAGTCCTGGAGGAAGTGTTTGTAGTCTGCCGATTCATCGTTACTCAGGTGCCCCAGGGCCTCCAGTGTGAGGGGCTTCAGCTCTTGTTCAGTATAGGAATTACGACACCGGCTCATTTCCTCAGGAACCTGGGAAGGACACGAGAGACACAAGGTCGAGACTCCAGCAGGGCTCATCCTCAGCACCCATCAGTGGGAGCACACGAGAGAATCAACAGCTGGGGTCCTCAAGGCAGCGTAGGCAGCCCTGACCCCATTTCCAACAGAAGGCAGGGAGTCCCTGCTGACTTTATGTGATGTCGCAAGGAGACAGACAGATCACCTTGACAGATATGTCTAAAACACGTATTCCTGTGTAAGATCTATGTGTTTTAGACATATCTGTGAAGGTGTACTAAAATTGGGCTTAACTGAGCCACTGAGCAGGTGGCTCAGATGCAGAATTTTAGTTTCAGATAATTGGCTGCTTTTGTTTTTTAAGTAAAGGGGTATGAAGGTAGGCAATTTCATGAAACATAATTAACTCTAATGAGTGTACACATAAATATAGAATTAAGACATTATCAGGGCTGGGGATATAGCTCAGTTGGTAGAGTGCTTGCCTCACATGCACAAGGCCCTGGGTTCAATCCCTAGCATCACCAAAAAAAAAAAAAAGATACATTTTGGGGCTGGGGTTGTGGCTCAGAGGTAGAGAACTCGCCTAGCCTATGTGAGGCACTGGGTTTGATCCTTAGCACCACATAAAAATAAAACAAAGATATTGTGTCTACCAATGACTAAAGAATAAATATTAAAAAAAAAAAAGACATTATCAGGACACACACACACACACACACACACACACACACACACACACACTATTCTCCAGCTGTGGAAAAGGATGTTTTCCTAAGACATGAACAAAATATCAAGCCAACCATTTGCCAAACACTTTTTGTCCCCATTCGTGTCATCCTAACACAGGAGCCGACCTTCCCAACTCCTTACCTGGAAAAGCTTCTTGCACTCAGCAATCATATGGGCCAGCCCTTGAGTGGCAGCTAGGTTTTCATTCAGATCTTTCTGATCTGGTTTGCCCAAACTCTGTTTTCTTTGCATTACCCTGGATAAAAGAAATAAAGGGAGGGGAAATGAGTCCAACATTTATATATTGGTAATCAATGTATCATTCAAGGAAACTCAAAGGAGAAAAAAAAACAAACAAACATTTTCCTGGAACCTATTTATCACTAAGTGGTTCAAGAGAGCTTTTACTTTGTTTACCAGAATTTCTCAGAGTTTTATCAACAACACACACTAGAGATGTGTTTTTCATGAAATCCAGGGTATTTAAAGCCACTTTGTTAAATAGGTTTCTGTCTTAAGAGGAACAGCTCCTAAGGGCTATGGTCCTGCTGGGGAGTTAGCCAGCTTCCGGAGGGTGTGGGGTGGGGGCCCTGGGAGCTGGGGTAAATGGTTTCAGTATTCTTACCATTTAAATAAACAGGATCCCCTCCACAGGTGAGGGATAAACCTATTCTTTCCCAGAGGTGTTGTCTTACTCTTATCTGATCTCTCTCTTCTACTCACCTCCAGTTCTCTATCCCATTAAAGTTGGAATGCCCCAGCAAACTTTTGGAACTAGTTAAAAGGATATTTAAGCATTGTCTGGATTTTAGGAACAAAGCTAACTTCCACTAGAACAGCTAGGCCCCAGGTCTCCAGCTAGGAAATAACTCTTCAGGTTCCTTCAGAAAAGGATCTGCAGGATACATTCGGTATGGGGGTGGGGGGAGTTTGCAGTAAGTCCTGTTAGTCACTCTCTCAGACCCTCCAATAGAAGATATTCATATGAAAATGCTAGGACTGGCTCTGCTATTTCTTCCTGTCAGGCGTGGTCAAGCTACTTACTGAACTAAGCTTTCTCTAAGCCTTACGTTCCTCCTGTGAAAAAGAAATTTGCAGAATCTTTACCTCCTGTGATTGTTATGAGGAATAAATGAGACGATCAATGGGAAGAGAAGGGTCCTGTGCCCAGTACAGAATAAGCACCTAGCCTTTATTATTTTACAGATTCCTTGACTTTTTCTCCACTTTCATCTTGTGTATTCGCATTCTATGCAGAAATTTTACAAACGACTGGCTTAGGCCAAATCCTGAGTAGAAGCACCTTTGAATCTTGACATTAAGACCAGGCTGTTTCAACTTTGGGCAGAGGCTGAAAGTTTGGCTTGCTTGACCACGCAGGGAAAAGGCAGCAGGAATCATCCATCCAGTTTTTTTTAAGACTTGTACATCGGTATTGTTCTTTGTTGGCACAAATAGGATGATGACATTATTATTAGACTTGCCCCCCATTACTGGCTGGGGTGGGGCAAGGCAAGAACTCAAAACCTAGTTGTTACTAGGCTGTCTATAAAAGTCATACTTTCTAGAAAGTTCTGAGAGGGAAAAAAAGGCAGAAGTACAAGGGAACCTTGTGGGCTGTCAATGAAGGAAGTCTAACTCATTTTGTTTGGTTCAGGTAAGAAGCCAACAGGAGTACAGTGGCAGCCCTATAAGGAAAGGCCAGCTGCCTCTGTGGAAGGGCACAGCCCCCCGTGTGCACCTCTCATCTGACCTGTACCTTGGAGAAGAATTCTCTCTCTTCAGGGTGTTGAGGTGGAAGAGAGAAGGCGCTAAGCACACGGCCAGGTTGGTCGGAGTCATCTGGTTTTCTTTTACAGCCGCTGTGACATCACTCAAGAAGTAAAGAAGCGTCTGGAGAACCTCCCGGTTCTCATCAGGCAGGAGCATAATGGCAGCCTTGATAGCCTGGAGGCGCTGGTCTTTGGGTACGTCTGCGAGGTAGAAGAATTTCCCTCAAGCTCAGTGATTTTCCATGTATGTGGCAAGGACACGTCCCAAAGCAAACATCAGCATCAAATACTGAACAAGCACTTGCAGAAAGTGCACTACAGGTTAATAAGGAAGAAATTATGGACTGCTACCAGTCACCAGCGTCACTACCCTCAGGTATTTCCTGCCTTGTGGAGGAGTTAAAAAATTTTAAACACTCATGATACCAATAATACTCCTAAAGCTACCTCAGACTTCAGCTCCAGATAATGCTCTTCTTTTAGTTTAGAGAACAAATTTTTTTTTTCCTGAATACTTTCTAATGATCCCTAATTTACTATCTCAATTACTGAAATCATTATACACTTAAACATAAGTTTCAATGTAAAGTCTTATCTAAGCCTTGATTATAAAAGACTGAGAATCTCTGGGGACTGTTATAATTTTAAGTGATTTGCTCATTCTCAAAATGGGGAAAATTGTTAACATAGTCAGTCGACTTAAACAATAGATAGATTTAACCAGTAATTTTTCCCTTGAGTTTTAGAAACCATACCGAGAAGCTATTATAGAAATGCACACAATTATTCAAATAATTAAAAATGCAAATGAATCCATAAAATAATCTGCATGTAGAAAATGCTGAACTCAACTTTTAGGTCTTCTTTTTTAGACAGACCTTTTTTAAAAGCATGTAGTGGAAAAATTAAGTCACTCAAATGTAGTGGCCATAGGACAAACTTATTAAACAGCTCCATGGTTACAATACATAACAAATACCTTGGTGGGGAAAATGTGACCTGTGTTTTCATAAACTATGAAAGGATGAAACAAATAATGAAATAATCCAGAGCAGCTCCATTTCTCATAAAATGAAGTCCAATGCTCCAGTTCTAAGGACAATTTCAGCACCAAGAGAAGCTGCTTTGAAATCACACTGCTGTAATACCATCCTGAGCCAAGAAAAACACAAGGCTGTAAAAGCTATAATCCTGATCTTGATCATTAATTTCGACAACTGTTTGCTTTAAGCTTTGCTTAAAAGTGAGAAGAGCATGGGTATTGTTTTCTCAAGTATTTCTGGCAGAGATTGTGATGAATAACAGAAAAAGATTATTTATTCATTTTACAGTGTGATAAAACACAAAGACACCTGTGCAATTTTAAATACAACAGACCTGCTAGAAAGATATGAAACAATTGAAAATTTCAGTAGACAAGGCCAAGAGAGAGGGAAGGGAGAGGGGCCGAGAGAGGAGAGAGAGAGAGAGAGAGAGAGAGAGAGAGAGAGAGAAAGCTAGATAGATATCTTGGTACCTGCTCTTTATCTAAGCATCTTAGATAACATTGCTCTAGAGAAAAATAAAGGGAGCTGGATCAGAATATAAAAATATGTAACTGCTTCAGCAATTAGAGACTAATGAGAAATTTATTTCTCATTAATCAATAAGTATACAGGAACTAGTTTCCACAAACAAGGAGGCAAGGAAGGTCACACAAAGACAAGAATGAGGCCAAAGAAGTTACAAGTTCAGTTGTCCCCATGTCCCTCCCTGCCAAGTAACCTCAAAGTCCAAGGACACTTACATTGGTAGATCTGTAGAAAGGTTTCCGAGAGTTTGTTTGTCATGAGTGGCTCAGGAAGATCTCGAAAATACTGCTTCAACATGTCTGCCACATCATAAGCAGACTGTCCTTCATAGTTGACACAATCTGTGGCACTCTCATTCATCTGGCGCAGAGCCTGAATCCGCGATTTGACACCTGATTTTCTGAAGAGCCCGACCTTTCGGAAGAAAAACATTCCATGTTGGGATGGAAGCAGTACCTCCATTACAAAACTAGGAGCAACGTGAGGCTGAGCCCCAGGATGACGTGGGATCCACAAGTAGTGGTCCTCACCTGATCCAGACAATGGTTGCGGAGGTAGCGCATGGCCTGCTGGATGCTCTGAGGCAGGGGTTGTCCTGTACGCTGCACGTTGACCGTGAGGGGGACCCCGAACACGCTCCGGTCCTTGTAGTCTGGAACCTTGATTCTTTTCATGAACTTGGGCACAGCCCTGTTTAAAGAAAATGGTGCGAAGGGGTGAGTTTATTTTTCTGTCTATACTTGTCCTCCTCTACAGATAAACCCTGTGGTCCCTAGATCTATGCCAATATGGTGACTGTTTAAATTTGCATGAAATAAAGCAACCCATTCAGTTCCTCAGTTGTACTAGCCACATTTCAAGTGCTCCCTGGCCATTTGTTGGTAAACGCTACTGTTTTGTTTTATTTTTTTGGTACTAAGGATTGAATCCAGAGGTGCTTAACCACTGACTGATATCCCCAGCTCCGTTTTTTAAAAAAAATTTATTTAAAGACAGGGTCTCTCTGAGTTGCTTAGGGCCTCAGTTGCTGAGGCTGGCTTTGAACTCATGATCCTCCTGCCTCAGCCTCCTGAGCTGTTGGGATTATAGGCAAGTGCCATCATGCTTGGCCCAGTAGCTGCTATTTTAGAATGTGAAAATCATTTAACTTCCTGCCATTATTGACAGTTTCACTGGACAATGTTGTTGTACGTATTTTAAGAGCTGGGGTTAAAAGGCCTGGTCCCATCTCTTTGGTTGGGGATTCTCCTTCCATTGTTAATCTTGAGAACCAAGGTCTATCGTCTTAAGAAAACCAATGGACTTCCTTATAAGATGGCAGTACAGGAAGAAACAGAAGCAGAAAACATGTTAATACCCTAACTAGATGCTTCTGATAAAGTTTGAAAACACGAGCTTCCATTTGTCCTGAAAAGGGTTAGAATCCCTTTTGAGTTCCTGATGAGATCCAAAGCAGTTAAGGTAAAAAGGTTTAGGAAATAGGCATGAAAAAAAGAGCAAAGACATGAAGTTGGTCTAATATCATGAGCATCAACTCCAGAGCTCAACAGTGAAAGACCTGAATTCAAAATAAATTCTCTTAATTGATGACCCCAGAGTTATATCTTGCAGTTTCTAAGGAAAGACAGAAAAGGAAAAATGGGGGTTTTGTGAGCCTCCCCCAGGTTTCCCGAAGTCCTAAAACTAGGTCCACCCCCAGCAGCGCATGCATCACCAGAAAACTCATGTCATGCATTGAAGACTGTCACGCAGACATTTGAGCTCTACAAATGACCCCTCCGAATGAGACAAGTAAAACAAGGCCAAACAGGAAAGTAACTCTGGGCAGAATTTCTCCCTAATGCACGGATCCACAATGCCAGGCTTTTACGTTAAGGTTTTGGCTTGCTGGAAAAACTGACCAGAACTTGAGAAATATTATAGACTTTGAGATTCCTGAGGGTTTGGTGGGAAGGGGATGGGCAACTCAGCAAGGGGAATCTAAAATATGCAGTTTTAAATAGCCAGCAGGGAAAATATTACTCTAAGCATACATGAACACTGCAGAGGACCAACTGCTTTAACATTTGAGTGCTTACCCGTGGCCACGACACGTTACTGTTTATAGCTCCAGGAAAGGTAAAGCTAAAGAGCAGAGCTGGGTTGGTATTTCCATACAGTTAAATATACAGTATCACGGCTAGAAGAGTGCATAATACTCGCTTTGTCGGGGGAGAAAAGCCTGGCTGGGGAATGTGGAAAGAACACATTACGCTCCCCACTGAGAATCTGAAGCATGTGGGGATAAACCGGTCAATACTTATTTCTGTCATTCAGAACAAACAACTTCTGTATTTAGCGAGGCTCACATAATAACGGCCTTTGCACAGGAGGGGCTTTGATGCTGCAGCTAAATTCACTGTGCATCCAGAGGAGGGTGGAGCTGGAGGGAGCAAGACCAAGCTACCTGGCTTTGCAGATTCTCCCAAGTGACTTTGGTCTGCCACAGAGGGCTCCAATGACATGGGCTGCTTCTCTGTTTTTATAACAACTGAATAATAAACACTTTGATGAGTGAAAAGACTAAGGACGCTCAGCTGGCAATGCAAAATAATACTGAGATGTCAATGCGGAGGCAGTTCTGGGTTTTGCACTAAAGGTAGAAAAATCAGTGTGTACAGACTAGGTCACACCCATGATCCCTCCAATCTAACAATTTACATCTCAAGTTGGACACACCTAAGGCTAGATTTTCAAAAGTAACTACGAAGAACTCATCTAATACACTTCGTCTTTATTTATACATTCGCCCATAGCATTTTGTAGTGCCTTCTCAAAAATTTATTATTCACTGCTGGAGCATCTTTGCTGGGAAAAAATAACCTTAACACTTGAACACAGGTAGATCTTTAAGTGATGCTGCAAATACTCATATCAAAAATAATTTTTAGGGCTAGGGATGTAGCTCAATGGGAGATAGCATGCTGAGCATGTATGAAACCCTGGGCTTAATCCCCAGCTCATCAAAACAAACAAGATTTCTAAAAACATGCACGAATAGGATTACAGGGACAAGCAATGTACATCAAGCATTTCCGAGATGATCTCATAATATCTTACCATTTCTTTCTTCCCTTCTATAGGTATGACATAATAATGTACATGTATTTACTTATAGTGGGTTACTCCTACCACTGGAAAGGAGGCAGCAATACCACGTGATGTGAGAGTAATACATTCTCACCCCCATCAACTGGCAATTTGCCACTCCAAGAGCTGACAATGCAATCTGCCAGCCCTGCTGATAATTTTCCTTAAAACTCTGATGCCTTCAGCTGTCTTGAATGTGATCTCGAGAATGCAGAGACCAGGCTGGCTCTGGAAGAGTGCTTGACTTGCATGCCTGAGACCCTGGGTTTGATCTCCGGCACCACAAAACAAACAAGCCAAGAACAAAATGCAGAGACTGCATGACACACTAAAGATATTAGCAAAGGACAGAACTAACTACCATGTGCTTACTGTGGGGATGGCCTCAAGGAGTTGACTGAAAAACATCACTTGAAGTTACGGTTTAAGTTCTTACCAGCTAAAACCATGCTTGTTAGAAGGTGTGTACTTCTCCAGCAGGGCTGTCAACTTGAGGAGCGAGTATTTCTGCAGTAGGTTCATCTGGGCCACAGATTGGCAGTTAATCTGCAGAGATACAGAGTTTAGGCTCGGCCGATGGGAGCTCTGGAAACTGTGCCATCTCAGTCTGTGCCTGGAAAAGAATGGGGCAGGGTGAGTGAGCACAAAGGTAGATGCAAAACTGGCCAAGGCTGCTAGCTGTCCTCTTAGGAACTGAAAGGATTCAGTTTTCAGGCCATTCATTTTCTTCCCCTGTGGCAAAGCGTACAATGGTTCCTAGGTGTCCACAGGGGATTTGTTCCAGGATCCCGCTCAGTTAGCTGAATCCACAGATGCTCAAGTCTCTTACAAAAGATGGCACAGTATTTGCATATAGATGATGCACATCCTCCTGTTTACTTTAAATCATCTCCAGATCACTTTTAATACCTAACACATAGCGAATGCTCGGTCATTAGTTGTTATACTGTACTGTTATGGGAATAAGGACAAGGTAAAAAAGTTGGTACATATTCAGTGCAGACACAAGTTTTTTCCCCTCAAATTTTTTTGATCTGCTGTTAGCAGAATCTGCAGATATGGAACCCATGGAGAAGGGCGGGCTGACTGCACACAACCTAAAATTGACCACGGAACCACTTCTAAAAGCACAGTTCAGTGGCATAAAGTCCACCCTGGGATTGTGCAGTCCACCTCCCCTTGTTTTCATCTTCCCCAAGTGAAAGTCCACACCCATTAAATAATATCCTTTCTTTCTGAATCTTGGATCTCCTGGGCTGACACTTTTCTCAGCAACTGGTATGGCTACGAACATCGGTCTTTATCCCATTCCCTCCTACAGAACCAGTGGAGCAGACTCTTTCTGATCCCCACTCCTTAATCCGGTGGGAGGAGCCAGGCGCTTACCTATTACACCTGGTCAGGGAAGCCCCCACCCCGGAGTCCCTTCTTTCCGGGATGTCAGAGGGCTCTTCAGGCTCATTCAGGGAGTTGCCCGTGCTGTCCAGGTCACTGGGTGTGGTTCGGTCATTGTCCACATCCAGGTGTATCTGTTTGGGAGAGGACGGGCAAGGAGAGACGGAGTCCAGGGCTGAGTCCGAGTCTCCCTCATCTGAAAACTTCTCCGACCACTGGTTGACGATCCGCTGCATCCCCTTCACGTGGTAGAGGATGTCGTCCAGCTCGGGGAAGATGTCCTCATTCTCCAGGTCAGCCAGGTCGCCTGAGCTGGAATAGAGGATGGAGCCTGGCACGTTGTCGTAGATACTCAGGCGGCTGCTCATGGAGCTCGAGGAATTCCGCCTCTTAAGTTCCTTAGGGCTGTCATTGCTGTTTTCCCTCCTGAGGCTGATATGGCCAGGGCCATGGAAGCTTCCAGTCCTCCAGTTCACAGAGCTGTTATTTCCCGAAGGACAGAAGCTTCCATTGGAAAGGGCCTTGGGGAAGGTGCCAGGCTTGTGATCTTCAGGGATGTAGAATACTGTGTCCTCTGGGTAGCTCTCGCGGTTTTTAAAGTTCTGCTCCATCACGTTGTTAAATGTGGACTGATTGAAAGGATCAAAGCCCTCTAGATACATGCCCACCCGCTTGTTGCAGGCACTGAGGCTCCGTGTCCTGGTGACAGGGCTAGGTGTGCTGACAGCGCTGCTAGTTTCTGACTGGCTGCTGCTGCTGCTGGTCTGTGTGGAGTTGGATACACTCCTCTTTCGTACCATGGGGACGTTGATGTGGTTGCCATTGAGGGCTGAGATCTCCACGCAGTTCAGCTGCTTCAGCTTCTCCTCATCCATACCCTCTTGCAGAATGGGCCCACTGATGATCAGCCCCAGCTTGGAGGGTGCCTTGTGCTTGCTGTGGTGGGAGCCCTTGAGCTTTAAGCTCTCCATCCGTTTCAGCAAGCTTCGGGTCTTAGACTTGGCATTTTTCTCATGCCCTTTCATGCTAAAGCTGAAGCTGGATAGTTCCTTGGGAGAGGGAAGGCTGCAGAAAGAGTCGTCATTGCCTATAAAGTGGCTGGAGGAGCAGACACTAATGACGGAGTTAGTCCGGGGTGTCACAGCATCCCCACTCTGGGACACTTGGGTGGGGATGCTGCTGGTGCTGCTGAGGCTCCGGACAGAAGACACCTCCTGGCGCTCGCTGAGGTCCGTCAGCATACTTTCATGGCTCATGGCGTTCTTCAGGTGGGAATCATCTGGGGACCCAGAGACTGGGTCCTGCTTTGGAGAAAACACATCAAACTCTTCAAGCCGGGACCACCTCTTGCTGTCCCTCTGGAAAGTCCATTTGCCACTTATTGCACAAGGCTCATCTTCATCCGAATCCTCACTCTGCAAAGACATAATGAAGCCATTTATACACAGGGACCGTAAGGTAGCAGGGGCCAGGACACATGCTATGGGCCAGGAGATTGTTCCAATGTCACCACCAATTGTTCCAAATTCCCCACTTCTTTCACATTTACTTTCTTATTCTTTAAAATAACAAAGATATATTTAAAGAATGTAACAGGAGAAAGTCTGATCAAGTGTTGCCTGCTAAATAAGATTTTTTTTGTTTGGGTACTAGGGATCGAACCCAGAGGTGCTTACCCACTGAGCCACATCCCCAGCCCCTTTTTATTTTGACACAGAGTCTTGCTAAATTAGTCAGGATCTTGTGAAGCTGCTGAGGCTGGCTTTGAACTTGTGATCCTCCTGTCTCAGCTTCCTGAGTCACTGGGATTACAGGCATGTACTACCAATGCCGAGCTAAATAAGATTGATTTTTATGGAAACTTTGGATCTATCGGTTGTTTAATTGCTCACAAAGGAAACCTCTGAGATTGATGAAAATTCCAGGCATGCAAAATATTTTGGACTGGAGTCGGCAATGGTAGGACTCCCTCAGGACCACCTCTGGTTTTGCTGCCTGTTGATAGCATATGTTTACGTTCCTTTTGCAATGAAGAAAGCAGTCTCCCAACAGTTAAGAAGAGTGGCAACTTAGAAGATCCAGCCACCCTAAAAAATTTTTGAATTCTCCTAAATTAATGGAGACCAGGCAAAGTGAGCCATCACGTGCCGGCCACTTCTTACCTGTTCCTTTTCTTCCCCTCCCCCTACCAGAGCTCACTCCAGGATTGTCCTGTGCAGTTTCAGCCCTAGACCAGCTCCAGGCAATTTAACAAGGCTTCACAAATACCCAGTCCTGACAGCAGGGAACATGGGTAAACACAGAGTAACATCTCTGTTGGTGATGTCTGATTCCTGTGCAGGTCTTAAGAGATAGGCTGTCACAGACTGTTCCATCTTGGCCTTGGAGGCACAGTATCAAAAGGCACAATTCTGCATGCTAGGTATCTCTGCCACAGGCGTGGAAAATATCACATTGACCCAAGATTCGCAGGAAAGGGAGTGGAGAGCATTCTGCGATGAAGACTTGGAGACACAGCTCAGTGGGTGCTGAGGTTCCAGTTCGTTTGTTTAAAAGGTCTAACTCTCCAAGAAGGCCACTTTTTGCAGGCCAGAGACTCTAGGATAATTAAAATTTGTACTTGGAACAATCAAAAGTATGTTCTTTGATCCAACTTATTCCTGTTTATTCTAATTTGTGACACTCACTCCCAGTATTAACCTTTTCTCCTAAGATCTCCTAAAAGGGCCTCCCAACTCATTCGCAAAAGAAAATACCATTCAATTCAGTTATGTGCAACCATTGACTGAAATGTGTGGGATTTCCTGGCTCTTCTGTTTCCTCCCCCAATTCCTTTCCTCCCTCCAAATGTTTTATTATTCTTCAATATCCCCCCCCCCAACAGCCTTTGTTTTTATCCTGACAGCTTTGAAATGTAGTTACTGTTGTATTTGGGAAGACAGAGGAATTCCCAAAGTGGGGCTAGCTTTATTTTCTCTAGGGAGTCACTGCAAAAGTCCATTGGAATTCATTAAGTCTCATCTTTGTTATCACAGTAGGAATTGAGTTCGTTAGGAAAGATAATAGATGATTTCTTCAGACAAAAACCCACCTATTCACAAATTTTTACAAAAATTCTAAAAAAAAACCCCCATCTATTAGCTGGTTGCCACTACACACTCTTTGGTAAATGTGACTGGATGATAACATTAAACATGGAGATGCTTTTGGAATGAGAAAATATGAGAAACAAAACCTATTACAAAACACATAATCCAGTTTTAGGTTTGCCTGCTTGTTTTCCCCAAATCCTATTATATAATTTACATACTCACTCTCTTCCGATGAGGACTAATTTCTAGCTTCATCACCGCACATTTGTTTAAAGTATTTAGACGCCTATAGAGCAAAGAAATAACATTAGCAAAGAAAGGAAACCACTAATGGGTAGGTAAACATTTTTTTCTAAACAACTGACATATTTAGTGAGTTTCTCTGAACTTAATAATATCAATAATTTATGTATTAGAAACTTCCCTAAAATGTGAATGGGTGAAATAAAACCCTTTATATTTCTTAAGCTTTTCATTTAAATTAATTTTTTATGACTTTATAGTAAATTGTAAGTTAAATTTTTATGATTTTATAGTAAATTGGCACACCACAAGGACACTGGCAGGTACCTCTAATTCTTCCTGGAATAAGCAATTCTCAATGAGAAAATGCATTTTTTTTCAATAACTGGTAGGTTGAGTCAGTAGGCAAATGCAATTAAGTTACTTCAATGACAAAAAATAAGAACCTGTGATGTCTCTTTTCATAGAAATAAGGACAGCAACGAGAAACCTACTAGAGCCGTCAGCAAACAAGTAAATTGTATATCACATCAAAACTTGAAGTAACACTAATTAAAAAAAAAAGCAGAAAAATCAGTATAATAGAGGGGGAGGGGAAGAATGGGGGAAGTACTGGGGACTGAATTAGAGTACATTATATTCCATGCTTTTATGTCTAAACGAATCCTAAGGTTATGTGTAATTAAAAAGAACCAATATAAAGGGAAAACAATTTTAATTTAAAAATAAGCTTTAGTTATGTCTGACCAATAATCATCTCAGGCAACCTCTTCATAATTTTATTTTATTTTATTTTATTTTGTATAGAGAGAAAATTTTAGCCCTCTTTAATAACTTCCTGTTCAGGAGAGAATAATGTTTGGTATAGTGAAAGCAATAACACAAATTATTATTTTAAAAATTTGGATACTATAACCTGGAGGAAAGAGAGTGAGAAAGAGACACAGAAATAGATAGATTAGGGAAATAATTTAGTGTCATTAAAAATGAAATGTTTAAAGCTCACAGAGAAATAACGAAGTAGCTCAAAGAAGACATGCTTTCAATATGCCTGGCGAACTGGTCTGTGAAAGTGTGAGAGACAGCTCTCCAGGCCCCATTCTTCCYAACATCTTCCAGATGACCATCACTGAGGGTCCTCGGTGAACCTTCCATGTGCCTGTTTGCTGCCTTGTTAAGTAACACAAATCTCCTGACTGGGTTTCCAGTTTCTCCTAAAATTGCAATTCTTATGTTTTCATGGGATATCAGCACTTAATTTGCCCAAATTCAAACTGATCATGTACTGTCCTCAGGGCTTTATCTTCTTGATCCTGTTCTTGCAACTTGTCTGACAACTTTGATGCACCAGGATAGAAAGTATCTCTGCCTGCCTGATAAGCCTGCCTTTGATTTCCTAGGTTATGTGGAAGCCTGTTTATAGAATAAACAGAGATAACACAGGGTGCCTATGTTCAGAATATTCTGTCTGATGGGAAGGGAAAGAAAACAAATAACCAAATAACGGAGGAAAAAGTCTGCAGATTTTAAAAACAAGGAGGTGTATAAAGTCCCTCTCCAAGGGGCATCAATTACTTAAATTACTTTTAACCCACAGTGTTTCGTGCTCAAATGTTTTCAAGATTTTAAGAATCCAGAATAGTTACAGTTAGTCTTAAGTCTGGGTTTCATTCATCAAACCTGTAATCAAATACCTTCTTGACTTCATTTGAGCTTTAATGGTTGAGTGGTGTTTATAACCCAATTTACTAGGCATAGAGGCCTGTGGGGGGGAGGAGGAGGGGTTTACTTCACCAATTCCAGATTGCAGTCATACAAAAAAGACCCAGGAGGCCAGTTTTATAAAGACCAACTTCACCTTTTTATGCTGGTAGCAACAAGCTAAAGGCATTGCAACCCTGAAGCCCAGAGTTATTCTCTGGGGTTTCTGGGGTTTTCATTTATCCCCTGGGATCTCCAAAGAATGCCCACTGGTGTGACCTTATTTACTTATAGATAGATGATACTGACATAAAACAGTCATTCTAGCTAGAAAAGATAATCTGATCTCATGGAAGTAGAGAGTAGAACAGTGGTTACCAGAAGCTGGCAGGAGGAGAGGAGAAGAGGGGAATGGAGGGAGGTTTAGTATAAGGTACAAAAACAGGAAGAGAAAGTCCGGGTGTTCTGCAGCATGGCAGGGTGACCACAGCTAACACTAATTTATTGTGTATTTGTATATTTGTATTTGTATATTTCAAAATAGCCAGATGGAAGGACTTTGAATGTTCCCAACACAAGAAACAATAAATGCCAAAGGTGACAGATATGCTAATTACCAGGATGTGATCATTACATACTGTATAAATGTACTGCAATATCTAAAGTACCCCACAAATACAAATATGATTATTATACGTCAATTAAAAATTAAAAAAAAAATCAAGCTAGCTAGGTGCTCACTCCAGATGAGGCACGATGCTCTGTATTTTGTAGCTACCATCTCATTTTTGTCTTCAGTATCCCTATGGTGTGAATATTATGATTTATCTTCATTTTATAAATGAGGACATGAGGGCTTGGAGAGGTCATGAATCTTGTCCAAGGCCACACAATTAAAACATGGTGGCTCTGGTATTCTATACAATATCTTCTGCATTCTTTTCTAAAACAAATATTAATGATGGTAATAATGGGAGCAACTTATATCCCAAGTAGGAACCCTCAAATAAGTGGCTCAAACATTGATTATCCATAACTATCTATCCAGAAGCCCTGGTCATCCCCACCCGCCAGGTCCCTCACAGGGCTCAGCTCCACAGGAATGCATTGGTTTTTATCTCCTGGACAACTTGTACCCTGCTCTGAACAGGGAGGGGACTATCAGAGGTTCAAGAGCTTTGCTGCCCAGTGCTGCAGACACCCTGATAAAAGCAGAGCAGGCAGGAATCTGGATGCAAAATAAAAATAGGGAAAAGTAGAAATAAAGAGAGAGAAAGCAAAGAACCCGTTAGGAACTGAAAAATAAAACTTGTTCCCATTCTTAAAAGATATTTTCTTGGAATTAGTACAACTGCTCTGAAAAAAAAAATGAGTTGTTTCCATTGAAGCAGAACAAAAAAGGTAACAAGGCTCAAATCAACTTTAAGGAAGTAGATGCTTGACACAATTTACGCACTTTCAGGGCTGTTTTAAAACAAAAGTGCATACTGAAGATGACAGTGTGGATATATATCTATTTTTCATTCTACCATTTCCAGTTGGTGCTCACAATTCTTCCATTTTTGAATAGGAGGAATTAGTTTTCATTCCAAAGGAAAATAGCAATTTAGAAGGTTTTATGAAGCTATGGGCAGACAACATTTCACACGAGGTATCCTGGTATTAGATCACATTTCACAATATTATCTGTATATGCTTCAGCACAAGCTGATCACTCCTCCAAGTATTAACACTGAGTAGAAGAACTCCTTCATCATTATGGCCTTGTCACTGAGGTGAAGTTAAAGCCTGGGACAAGAGCCAATCTCTTCAAGGAAACAAATAAATACCTAATAGTGATGTAAGACTGTTGGTGAGCACTCCAAACCCCAAATACCCTAGTAGTCCTACAACTGTAATTTTATATTTCGTTCTTCACCAAACTTTATAGTTGAGATAGTTTTAGCATTCTAAGACAAATAAACAATCCCCCTCCCCAAACCCATTATATCTCCCAATCTTCTGCTCTGAGTAGAAAACTTTAAAAGGGAATAGCTCCTCCCAGTTTTTTGATCAAAGTAGTTAACGCCAAAGTAGTATGACCTGCTAATGTTATAGGAATATGAATATTTTCAACAAAGCAGAATATGCTAGTGCATTCTAAGGATTGTTTGTAACATCTGTGTCTAAAATAGGGTCCAATACAAGGAAGGCATCCTGGGGACAAGAAATCATGTAAGATTTTGTAAAGCCTTTTTTTTTTTTTTTTTTTTTTAAGTGAGAGAGGAGAGAGAGAGAGAGAGAGAGAGAGAGAGAGAGAGAGAGAGAGAGAATTTTTAATATTTATTTTTTAGTTCTCGGCGGACACAACATCTTTGTTTGTATGTGGTGCTGAGGATGGAACCCGGGCCGCACGCATGCCAGGCGAGCGAGCTACCGCTTGAGCCACATCCCAACCCCTTGTAAAGCCTTTAAACTGAATTTCTGCAACTGTAGTTCCATACATGTTTAAAATCACCTGTTCAGAATATTTCAACAGGGCAAGAGATGGATGTCTACAAAAAGTCTGTGGTTCCAGGGGGTGGGGGGGGAACTTCACAAACCACAAGGTGAAATTTTAAACCACAGTATAGCTTCATTATCTGTTGGCCCTGGAATTCCCCTTGCTGAGAAGGCATTTGGAATAGGCAGCTCCAGTGAATGAAGTAAATATCACATCATCAGTAAAATGAGTATCCCAGCTATGCTATGCACAGCTCAGACCTTGAAATGTGTTATCTATGGAGGGTGCCTGAAATCCACCCTGTATGGCTCCCATCTTTTTCTTCTGACATCTAGAGGGAACCCTTTCCATATAGTCTATTTATGTAACTATGGGGACAAGGGTCTGTGGGTTTTCCATTACAAGCAAATTGATGATGTTTCTGTTTTCTGAAAAATTTCTTTTTTAAAAATAAAATCCAGTCCCCATACTTACTGCACTTCCTCAAATCTGGGTCTGATCATTTAATTTTTAAAGCACCTGACTTCCATTAGTGTATTTCCTTCTCTCTGCTAACCTGTGATACATTATTCTATGTTTAAGAGAAAACAGAAGCCCAACCAGAATATGAGGTAGAGTTTGAATACAGATTAAAGTCCAGAATCTTTAAGGCTTTTCTTTTTAGGAAAGATCCAGAAGCACAGATTTATTCTCTCCAACAAGAGGTGGCTTTCTGAGTGGTACTCAGAGCTAGTGTAAATCTTTCAAATAAAGGAAAGTTAAATTTCAAACTGATATTCCAACAACAACAGCAAAAATATTCAAGAATTTAATCATGACTCTTTGGGCTGAAACGTTGCAGTGATATTTTTATGACCCACAAATTCCTAAGCTGATGCTGCTSTTCCAAGGGCCCACATCAAGTGGCTTAAAATGTGTGAAATGGATGATATTTCCTAAGATGCATCTTAGGAGTGACCTCATTCATATGCATTATCACCAGTGATGAGTTGAAAATAAATGAATTCTGCCCCGGAGCTAAGCATGAAAGCATTTTAAAAATGTCTGGAGTAGTTTATATTCCAGACACACACTTCTCCCCTCCCAAAACAGCATTGGTGACATTTTTTTCATTGCAGATGACATAGCTATGATATTACACACACCATCGAAGGGTTTGGAATCAGCTCTTTCTTTGAGAACATGTCTACATCCTTCCCACTAGTTATTTAATTGGACTTGAAAAGTTTGACAATGTTTCTGTGGTTAAGATGGCATCTCCCTCCTTAAACCGTAAGAACTAGTCTTTTCCATACACCATTTTAAACATCCTATTTATCTTTCTCCAAAACCACTGCTAATGTTGGCTGCTCCAAGAAACACTTCATTACATAAGAAAGAAGAAAAAAAAATATTTTCACAGAGCTATTGCCGACAAAGGGGAAAGAAATAGTGGATATCACTGTACCTAAATCATATTTTTCCAAGTTAAAATAAATACTGAAATTAAAGGAGAATTTATTTGAATCTTACAAACAAATCATCATATGTAAATTTTGTCTATGTATAAAATTTCCCCCAGAATTCAGCAGTTAGGGTTTTTAGGTTTGGAGAAAAATTACAAAGGATGAATAACCCTAAGATGAATAAAAATGTCATACAGGGTTTGAAAGGATGCGTCCAGTCACCTGACTCCGGTTTTATGACTTCCACTTTGCTAAATAAAACCCACAAGCTGCTTCTCAGCCCAAAGAGTCATCAGCAAATGAAAGAGGATTTCTGACAGTTTTATTCACACTTCACATCAATGCTCATTTACTGCTTGTCTCCTGTATGTTGAAGGCTGTGTTGAGTTGTTTTATAGCCTATTTAATCCTATCATTACTATAACCTGGGGCAGCCAGAGGTACAAGGAGCTTTCTGGAATTCAAAGGATGGTGCTATTCCATAGCCCTCACCCAGCACTTGTTCCTCTGAATATGTTATTTCCACTCTGTGTAAGCGCAGCCTTGACTTTGCTAGGGTACCTGCTTGGGGCTGTTTAGTCGATCGGACCTCTTTGAAAAACCCTATTCAAATTTCAAGACCATCAGAAACTGACTTGTTTCTTTAGATGTACGGCATCCAAACACAGAGTGGTATTAATGTGAGGACCTCTGAAGGCAAGGTAATGCTATTTTAATGGCAATATCACCTAAGAGCATTTTACCTCATTTTAAATTAAAAGGTCTGTGATTTATAGGAAGGTAAGTCACTATACCATTTGCTAATCAAAGACACGATGTGATTAGAACAAAAGAAAACCAAACCTGTGATAAGTGCCTTGTTCTTTAAAGAAAAGAAAATAGAAATGCTCAGAACATGCTCATTTACCTGCATAGGGCCTCAATGGCATCTCTGTCCAAAAAATCATGTTCTCTCTTGACCGAGGTAATATCAATGGGGAAAAGGAGATCTATAAGAAAAATAAATACAAACATGTTATCGAGCCCGTAGGTTCTGGATAAACTAGCTCAGTTCATCAAAGTGGGGAGAAACCTCTCAAAGCAATGTGATTAGTATCTCCCATGTGCAGGAAGGTTCATTCTCTACCAACTTCTCTGAGGCTCTTGGAGAATAAAGCAGTTTAAAGCAATTCAGCATGAGCATCCTAAAAGAGCTCTAAAGTGGTCTGGAAACCCAAATGTTGCTTCATGTCAAAGTAAGGCAATAAATACGTTATAATTTAAGCCAGAATGAATTGATAAGGAGTCTTTTTTTTTTAAATGTGGCTTACTTTTTTTTTTTTGTTTTTGTTTTTAAATGCATGTCTTTGCTCACATATAATCAGGATAAGAAAAAAAAAATTAGGCCAAGGAAAGATCCAGAGGATAATGGCCAATGGTAGTCAGAGGGACTAGTGCAATTGTATGACATGGAGAGCTAAAGGGGATTCAAGACATGATATTTTAAAACAAATATTAACACTTCAATATGGATTCTCAGGAGTTTATACAACTCTCCCTAAAACAAAGGGCTAACTATAAAGTTACTGCAGGACAATAGAATCCCAGATCCCTTAATCTATGGGAGAGTTGAATTCTCTCAGAACAATGAAGAAGCTGTATCAGACTCAAAAGCAGAAAAGGTGGAAAAAAGTCAACTCAATGAAAGAATTTCCTTTTCTGTATTGCCTAAAAAGATCCCTTATAGACAGAGTAGAATAGTGGTTTTCAAGAGTCTAGGAAGCTGGGGGAGTGGTAGAAAGAGGATGGATAACAGGTGTAGGGGCGTAGTTGAATAGAAAGAATAACTTCTAATGTTCTACAGCATGCTAAAATAACCATGGGTTATTAACAATTCATAAACATAGGTTATAACAATTAATTGCATTTTCAAAAATGGATAATAGAGAGGATTTAAAATGTTCCCTACACAAAGAAATGCTAAACATTTGGAGCAAGATGCCAATTACTCTGTTCTGACCACTACACATTACATACATGCAACTGAAATGCTATACTGTGCTCCACATATGTGTGTACACACACACACACACACACTGTAGTAATCAATTAAAAATAAAAAATATATATTTAAAAAATGTGTCCCAGGTTTTGAAATAAAAATCCCTGCAATTAAATAGGTAAATGTATCCAGGACAAGCAGAGGAGAAAGACCCCCAGCCTGGTTGTGGAAACTGAGAACAGCCCTTAAATTGCCACTAGATAAAGGCAAGCTATCGCCCTCTTTGGAGTTCAGCTATCAAAGTAAACAATGGGCCTTCACAGAAGAACACGTACACAGCAACGAGTGTTGTGTAAAGCAACGTGAGTCAGGAATAGGTGGAAAAAAAGTCACCATAGAAGGATTACTATCATCTAAAAACCTTCTTTGGCCTTCAGAATGGCTAACGCTGCAATACTGGAAAAGATCTGGCCATCAGTAGTTTAGGAGCTGCAGGTGACTTGTGAAGTTCTAATTCTTGAGTTGGCTTCTAATTTATGATTGCTGATCTTAAAGAATGGTCTGGAACTCCTTATTCATAATAATCCATTTTCTAGGGATACTTGTTTAAAAACAATCACAATGAGTGTTAATTTATAGTCTATTCTTTTTCCTGAAAGCAAGCGTGGGATTACTGATATTGTTTCTGAAAGATAATACAGGCAGAACAGTGAAGTAGTTACAGCCCAAACAGATGAAGAGATGGACAGTCTAAGTCCCTCCTAGACAAATGACTTTAGCGACTCTGCTACAGCAGAAACATAACGGGAGGCTTACAGTGAATATTGGCTCTTAGTGAATAAAAGCAAGACAACAATGCACCCTTGTTGTTAGTGTATTAAACAATAGAACTGCTATTATAGAATGAATTTTTAATACTTATATATAGTATAATGTCAAATCTATAAATGTAACTTAAAAAGCTCCCATGCCCGAAAAGGATAAGGGAAAAAGCAACCATATTATTTAGCAATTTCTAATTTAGTGTACCCAGAGCTGTATTTTAGATGGCTTTTCTGATCCAAATTAACTATAATTCTGTTTTTTTTTTAAATCCAGTAGTGATGAATTAAATGTGAGCAGTAAAACAATTAAATCAACAATTTTCTCTTATTTACTCTCTTTTGAAATATCTAGTTTCTAGAAGATAATAGTTCACTCGTGCATAGAAGTGTTCTGAATTCAACTTCCAGCTGGGTTGGGTTTAAAGGCAGGAAGTGTAAATTGCCAAGTACAAAAATAAAGCTAAACAGGAAGACGAGGAATGTGGGGGTTGGTATGTGGTGTGTATGTGCTCACCCTGCACACAGTGGCAGGATGGACGGGGGAAATGATAGCCCAGAACAATGTACAGTGCACCTCAAAAGAGGGCTTACACTTCAAACGACTTGGGAGCATGAAAGGGCCCCCAAACGTCACTTATGAAAACACCATGTGCATTTTAGGATGGTGAAAGAAGTAAGACAGAGACTTGAACTCATTCTTAGCAAACAGACACAATCACAAGAAGGTGCCACCTGGCAGCAGATCAACACCCACATCGACATAATTGAAGGAAATTTAATTTCTGAACAGGTGAGAAGGACAGACGCTGTGAATGCAATTATCATTCTCATCTCCAGAGCTGTGAATTGAAAATCCAACTGATTGCTGTTCCTCACCCACCTCAAAGTCCTTTAAAGAATAAACAAATAAATTTAAAATTAAAAAATTAGAATAAATAAATAAATTAATTTTAAAAAGTTCTTTAATAGCTCAAGGATTTTTCTAAAGGAAAGATAACTTGACTCCCATGACCATAAGACATAGGGCACTGAACCAACAACTTTTGAAAATGAGAAGAAATAAAACAAAACCAGAGATTTTCTCTGAAATGAAGAAACAATAAGAGATTTCAGGGCTGAGGATGTGGCTCAGTAGTAGGGTGCTTGCCTAGTATATGTGAGGCCCTGGGTTCAATTCCCAGTACCAGGGGGGAAAAAAAAAAGATGAAAAATATTTGTTAATGTGAGCTACCAGGAGGAAGATCATGTGTTGCAAATTAGAAATGACTTTACCATTCGTGCAACTTTGAAAATTATCCATAAAATGGAATTTGCTCATTCACAGCTGTAACTATTTTAAAGGAAACTCATATGGAGTGTAATAAAACTCCTATTTAAATGAATGACTTATTCCTTTTGACATGCACAGAGTACACATAATCTATTTTGGTACCCAGAGGCTCAGAGAATGAGCCAGATTTGAGGCCCCATAGCCTCAGCATAGAGTCACCTACAGGGCACTAATGAGAAGATGATATGAAAAACATTTAGTCCCGATATCAATTTTTTTTTACAAGGTTCATTTTTCTTAATTAAGAAATTGACTGTTACAAAAAAAATAAAATCAAAAAACGTAAAGAAGAGTGGAATGCTTATTTACAAATGGAGGAAAAGACAGTGGCAACTCATGACCCACAAGGATGAGAATGTAGAATTGAGAGCCCTTAGAAATCATTTAAAAAATCACATAGCCGAGTGTGGTGGTGCACAACTGTAATCCCAGCGGTTTGGGAGGCTGAGGCAGGAGAATCACGAGTTCAAAGCCAGCCTCAGCAATTTAGCGAGGTGCTAAGCAACTCAGTGAGACCCTGTCTCTAAATAAAATACAAAATAGGGCTGGGGCTGCGGCTCAGTGGTCAAGTGCCCCTGAGTTCAATCCCCAGTACCCCCACCCCCCAAAAAATCACAATCAACTTAGGAGGATGATAGGCCTGAGATATTTCAAAGAAAATCAAACACATGGCCATAAAATGAATAATTGTTTATTTTTGTTAATGCTAAGGGAAATGGAAGTGAAAATCTATTCAATATCATTTTATATCCATTTGATTGGCAAAAATTAAAGTCTGACAATATCAAGTATTGAGTGTACGTGGACAGGCAGGATCTTTATATGTGATTGGTAGGAGTGAAAAGTGGCATGCGCACTGAAGAAAAATTTGCATTATGCAAGTTTTTTAAATTACCAAACAACTCTCTTCCTAGGAATACCCACAAGATAAATATACACGCACTTCCAGAGAAAGGGACAAGAATGTTCAAAACAGCACACTTTGTAAAAGCAAAACGACTGAAATGCCCACCCATCAGAGTGTGGACAGGAATAAACTGCAGTGATCTATTCACAAGATAGGGTAGCAAGCCTTTTTTTTAAAAAAAAAAAAAAAAAACAAACAAACATTTATTTGCTTTTAAAGTCTTTAAATCACTTTTTTTTTTAAGAGAGAGAGAATTTTAATATTTATTTTTTAGTTCTCGGCGGACACAACATCTTTGTTTGTATGTGGTGCTGAGGATCGAACCCGGGCCGCACGCATGCCAGGCGAGCGCGCTACCGCTTGAGCCACATCCCCAGCCCTAGAAAAATCTTAATAAAATATTTTAAATGAAAACATGAAATCCCACAAGATTATATACAGCATGACCATCCCTTTTATAAAGGTAAAAATAACTATAAAAATATACTTCTGAGGAAAGAGGAGTAAAATAACAACAAAAGGAACGCAAGAAAATGGTGAACAGAGGTTTCAGATCAGGGACAGAAAAGGGGGCAGGTGAATGTGTTATTATCGTGGTCTTCGCCTTTGTGTTGAGTGGTGGGGGTCTTAGGTATTTACTACATTATTTTATTTTATTATTATTATTATTTTGGTACTGGGATTGAACTCAGGGGCAGTCTACTACTGAGCCAGGTACCCAGCCCTATTTTGTATTTTATTTAGAGACAGGGTCTCACTGAGTTGTTTATCAGCTCGCTGTTGCTGAGGCTGGCTTTGAACTCGAGATCCTCCTGCCTCAGCCTCCCAAGCTGCTGGGATTACAGGTGTGCACCTCCATGCCTGGCTCTACATTATTATTATTTTTTTTTAAATGAAATGAAACATATACTAACAAATGCCTGAAAATAAGTCATAGATCAAGAACAATCATAAACCAAAGATGATAATCCTGWCAATTTAAAGAAAAACGGCCTTCCTGGCTTACCTTCATAAAGCTGTGCATACTGGGGGAAACCAGTTGCCCGCAGCCAATCACAGGCTTCCTTGGCTTCGATTTCTAAAACAAAAGAAAGACAAAGCTGTCAGCCTCATCCACCTTTTGACTTAAACTGATTTTATTATACAAGCAAAACCTGACTTTAATAGAAAATATAGATGGGCTAGCAAACAAAARAGCCCACTCTCTTCAAATGGTTTACATCTTTATGCATCTTTTCAGAGTTTTCCAGACGTATGTACTTACTCTATCTTCCCTTTAAAGAAAACACAAAAACGGGGTCCTAAAAGTAGGTTACTCTGCTCTGCTTCTGAAGTGCTCCAGTTACAGATGATTATAAAAACAGGGCGGAATGACAGAAYTGAAGAGGACCCTGTAACAATTTCAAGCCTGCCTGGCTTAACCCRCTTTACTTTTTTTACTTCCACCCAAATCCACCTAGTACATGGGACATCCTAGAGTACAAGTGATCTGGGCAAGGCTGCAGACTTGTGACACCCAGGGGCTGGGTGTTTTCACAGCCCCAGGTATCCTGGTGATGGGTCTTTAGGCCCACAGGTTTTAACCCAGTAAAAGAGAGGCCCAGGCTGCCCCATGACATGAAGGGCATGAAGTCCATAAATCCCAGTCTTGGCAGGCTGAGATGCCTAAGAAAGCGTCTCCCTCCCTGTGGTTTACCATCTTGTAGATAGTAYTGATAAACAGGAAGGCCCAGAGCAACCAACACACTGTGTTACAGCTCACTCAAACACCTATTTACAATCCCATTAAAACGGACTCACAGAGGAGGTCCTGGGCACATTAATTAGTTTCTCGGTTTGTACAAAGAATTTTCCTTTCAACTCCCCTTCCCGCCTTCCACAGGCCATTAGAGTACTTAGTTATGTGCAGCTATTCACTCTTTTATAGAGGTCGCAACATGGCTTCATTGACCCCAGATTCAAATCTTCATTAAGCATCTCTCCTCTGAGCCAGATGGGAGGGAGATGGCCCATATATTAGGAGAGGTATACACATCTTACTTTTGTCTAGTGACTTGACTGTTTCAAAGCATCTTTCACCTATTATTTCMTGAGTTCTTTGGGCCTTTCAAGAAAGGTAATTAAGAACACTCAAATTCATTAAAGCAAGTAGGAATGCCCTTATTGGGCACACCAAAGAGAAAAACAAGCCCCTGATTTTCCAAGCTAGTGAATACCCCAGCTAAAAACAATTAYGGCCCAGAGTGGAAAGGCATGGCAAAGTTTACCTGCATGAGKCTTTTCAGTGTAGAGAGGAAAGTGCCACCATTAAACACAAAATTTAGGGCCAAATTGGGAGCGGCGGATGGAGTGACATTAATGTGTAAAGACTTTAATGTTTGCACTGAATAAAAGAATCTATAGAGTAGGTTCCATGTGAATTATCTGAACCTATTTTTTTTTTAAGTTTAGGATACAACACTTTATTTTTTAATTTTTATTGGTGCTGAGAATTGATCTCAATGCCTCACATGTGCTAGGCAAGTACTCTACCACTGAGCTACAACCACAGCCTTAACTTTATTTTTCACGTATTTACATCCATACCTTGTCTCCACAGGAGGTTTTAAAGAAAATTATAAAATTTTATAAAATTTCTAGAAAACAATATTGCTGGGGAAACATAAAAACTCAATATTTATTATATTTATTTATTTATTTATTTATTTATTTATTTATTTATTTTTGGTGCCAGGAATTGAACTCAGGGGCACTCGAACACTGAGCCCATCCCCAGCCCTATTTTGTATTTTATTTAGAGAAAGGGTCTCACTGAGTTCCTAAGTGCCTCACCACTGCGAAGGCTGGCTTTGAACTCGAATCCTCCTGTTTCAGCCTCCTGAGCTGCTGGGATTATAGGCATGCACCACCCATGCCCAGCTCAATATTTTATTTTAAATAATGAGAAAATAACTTTTTCCCATCTCCATATCCTCCCCCTTCCCCCAAAGACAGATATGGAAAGAAAAAAAGGCTGCTTRTTATTTTAAAAAATATATATTTAAAATAATTCGCCTCTTCTAGCTCCTTAGAGATTATTTTCTTTCTTTTTTTTATGGCAGGAGAGGAGGGTACCAGGGATTGAACTCAGGGGCACTTGACTACTGAGCCACATCTCCAGCCCTATTTTGTATTTTATTTAGAGACAGGGTCTCACWGAGTTGCTTAGCGCCTTTCTGTTACTGAGGCTGACTTTGAACTCATGATCCTCCTGCTTTAKCCTCTGGAGTTGCTGGKAGTACAGGCGTGCACCACCATGCCCAGTTGAACAACATATTGTTAAAAAGTAAATGTGCACACTCTTTTAATATTTTACTTAAGTGATGAATACCATAAGCACAAATTCTCACTGTCCACATTTTTTTGACTATCTTCAGACATAACATCGGGTCAGCACAGATAGAAGAGCCTTAATTACAGACAGCAATTCACCAGATTTCATCCCCATTCAGAGCATTTTCCTGACTTGTTTAATTAAAATGGTCTCATATTGAGAGGCATGAATGATGTTAGATGTTTTTCTAAAAAGATTTCCATCTATTCTTTTGAATACTTTACAAATTGCATAGTATTTTCATATATAGTATTTATTTAAGGTCTCATGTGGTGTAGTAACACACAAGCCTACCATCTTGTCTTGTCTCTCTCATTTTCTACCACTAAGAAAATAAAATTCGCTCACATAACCAAAACTTGATCTAGTGTAAATAGTCACTCTAAGAATCACTTGGTGAAAAAGAAATGATGTGAAAAGAGGTTTGCTTTCTTTCTTTCTTTCTTTCTTTTTAAAGCAGATAATTTAATTAACAACATACACTTCAAAAGCAGTACTTTTAAGAACCACAGAGCTCTGGTAATGTTACCCTTCCTTTTCCTCATCCTAAAGTAAATGAGAATGTTCTTCTTTTAGAATCAAAGGGGTCAGCAACTGGGAAGACTGAGGCAGGAGGATCGCAAATTCAAAGCCAGCCTCCACAACTAACCGAGACTCTAAGCAATTTACAGAAAATTAAAATTAAAAATTAAAGGGACTGGCATGTTTAAAATGTTCCTAGTTTCACTCTCCAGTACCAAAAAAAAAAAAAAAAAAAAAAAAGAGAGAGAAAGAAACAAAGGGAAACAGCCCAGCATAACTATTTTACATTAAAAACATCCACTCCTTGAAAACCTAGGCTGCATAAAAATGAGAATTTAACTCACGGCTTTGGTAGAAATCAGAATTAGAAAACTCTAAAACATTCTCACAGATTTTTTTTAGAAAATGGAATATATAGAGACTTTAGTCCTAGTCTTTCTAATTAACAGAGGTCAAGGGAAAGTATTAACAATCAAGCACAGATAGCGATTTTAAAAACATCCACGTGTGACTTTTAATAGGAAGTGAACCCACGACTACAGGCAGGTCAGGCAGGGAACGCCTTTCGAGGTTCACTCTCTGGTTCAGGTCATGACTCTGACTCTAGTCTCCCTAACTAAAAACCTTAACTAAAAACTCCAGTCTTTCCTCTATTCAAAGAATCTACCCACCAACCCTGGCTCATCAAAATTCCTGAGCTAAAGTTTTGATCTCATCTCTCCTTCACGGATATCTTAGAAAATCACGTCTGAACACTTCTTTGTGGTTTTCAAGGCCTTCTGTGTGACATTCAACCTAATTTTTCAGTTCCTGTTTTCCTGCCTCCTAGCYAAAGTAAACTGAGCATACACATCCCCTGACTTCCTTGGCCCAAACGCCTTATTGCCTGCATAAGGTGAAATTTCATTCATCCCAAGGACAAATTCTTCAACCAATGTGTAGTCTTCCCAGATATCTGGACAACTCCATCAATTTTTAAATTTAACTTTTATTGAGCACCTAATATATGCAAGGCCCAATCGGAGTGCTGAATATATATTAGATCATTTATTCTGAATACTGATCCTAAAAAGTGGAGTACCGATACCATTTCCAACATAAAAAGAGGCTAAGGAATCAGGCAAACAAGCAACCATCTCTTCTTAAAAAAAAAAAAAAAAAAAAAAAGAGCTTTCTCCATTTTTTTTCTCAAATGAAGGAAAGGAAATGAAAACTCAAAGAAATTCAAATTCCTTCCAGAAAGACAAGTTCTTCCCTTAAAAAAAAAATGTAGCAATAAACAAAGTTTAAAATATTAAAGAAAAGCACAGACATAAGACTTCAGTCACCTTACCATCTCCCCTAGGCTTCTGGAGACTTCTGGAAGGCTCTGAGAATATGACTTTTCCTTGAGTAAATGTGGTGCTGATGTGCAAACTAGGAGGATGATTTTTAAAAATCATTGCCCACTGGGGATAGATGTCATTAGACACTAAAAATCCAATGGAAGTACAATGAAACTTTTATACCTGGCTTTTCTCTAAGTGAACCACACACACGTGTGAAGGCGGACACAGGAAATTTTTATTGGAAACAGCTTTAGTTGTTGGTCCCTTCACAAAACAGTTCTGCATGCTATGTGAGTGAGGTCCAGAAGACCCTTTGGTRTAAGGCTGGGAACTGCTGGGCAGTATTTGTGTATTTCCTGTCATGATGGGGTGCCCCTATCTTTCCACTATCCCTCAACACTGAGTTAGCAGAAGATGTCCAACAGACCCTCATCACTCTGCTAAGGACTGAGGATCTCAGTGGACTGAGCCACAGAGATGGGGTCTAAGTAGGATGGAATTACTTCTGGCTTCTGTGCTCTATCTTCACAGTGAGAACTCAGGTTTTCTCCCCTTCTTCYCCAATATGTTACCCAAACCAGGGCTCTTATAAATGCTACACTGAATTTTTCTTACCTTTTTTTTTTTTTTTTTTGCAGTACTGTGGATTGAGGTTACGGGTGCTTGACCACTAAACTACATCCCCAGTCCTTTTTTTATTCTGATACAGGGTCTCAGTTGCTGAGGCTGGCTTTGAACTTGTAATCCTCCTGTTTCAGTCCCTGGAGAAGCTGGGACGACAGGCCTGTGTTGCCATGAGGGCTCTGAATTTGTTTCTTTAAATGCAATTCTAAGGAATTAGAGGAATGTTAGGAA